GGGGTTCTGTCTCAGGTGGCTGCTGCTGTGAGCCAAGGACACCCAGGGCTTCAGGATGGACTTGCTCCTTCTCTGTCCCCACACCAGGGCCCAGAAGTCAGATGGTCTGGGTGAGGGCAGAGGGAATGTAGGTAAGTGGGCACCAGGAGCACAGAGCCTTGTTCCAGAAGTCAGAAGAAAGGTAATTTGCTCTTAACTGCGGAACCTGGGTCGGCCAAGACATCACTGTTCCAGGCTTCAGTCTCCTTACTCCCCCAGTGGGAGCAATGGCCATGGCCCTGCCCACTCCACAGGGTCCAGCAGCTGGGTTAGGCCAGGGAGGGGCAGGGCAGGCTGGCAGAGAGGCTGGGCACAAGTGGTCCTGCCCACCTGCTCGACATTGGGACAGGGAGGATGTGGATGCCAAAATTGTCATTTGTGGGCGCGGCGCTCACAGAGGTGGCTGTCTTTTCAGGTGTTAAAGGAAGTTGATGATGAGCTGAATATGGGGGCGTGAGAATGTGCAGCTGTGTGTGTGTGTGTGTGTGTGTGGCTTGTGAATGTGCGTATGTGGGTGTGTCCCATACACAAACATCCTCATTGACTGAAAGCTCACAGTGGGCTGAGCACAGGGATGGGGGTAAAGAGGAAATCCACAGCAGAGGTGAGCTTCTCCCTCAAGGAATGGAGTCTCACGGTGGAAGTGGGACCCATGCAAGTGAAAAATGACTGAGTAATACAAAGAGATGAAAGTGGGTGACTAAAGAGGCACAGCAAAGTGTCACTGAGCCCGTCAAGAGGGACAGGGGTGGGGTCAAGTGTGGGAAAGCCCCCCCACCCCCACCCCCGGGGCTGTCAGCAGGACCGGTGCTCTGCAGGTGGCCAGAGCCCTCGATTTGGGGAAGGGGAGAAAGGGTCTGCCTAGGTCAGCAGGCAGAGGCACACCAGTTGCGCGGGGAGTGTGGGGGGGGTGGTGCCATGAACGAGGTCGGTGGGAGTTCGTGGGTGTCCAGAAGGGCCCACAGGATGAGGCAGGAGCCAGCCCTGTGTGTGTGGGCCCTTTTCAGACACGTCCCCTCAGGTCATCTGGTTGGTTCCTCTACAGTGTAGAAGTCTAGATGCCAAATCCAAGAAGACTCAGGGACAAGCCATCATCAATTACAGATAAGCCCAGAGGCCAGATTCTGGGCCTTGGGCATAAAAGGTGGGCGTGTGGGGGGATGGTATTAAAGCTGGGGGCCTGGAGGGGCATGTCCAATGTGTGGCAGGCTCTCATTTGGGAAGGTAAGGTGTAGCCTTGGGGACAAATGTCAGTGAAACTGGGCCAGCTCTGATCAGAGGACACCAGTTCCGGCACTTTCAGCCTTAGTATAAAGGCAAGAGGAGTGGGGAAGGGAGGATTTCATAAACGAGAAGCAAGGGGGCTCCAAAGCCCCTTCTAGGGCCCTCCCTGTGGTCCTGGCAGCCTGGTGTCTGACAGAACGCCTCCACCCAGACGTGCGTGGAGCCGGCTGGGCTGGTCAAGTCTGATCACTTGCTGCCTGCACTCGTCTCACAGGACTCAAAGTTGGGGGCGGCTCGGTAAGCTGGGAGCAAACCGGTTAAGGGTCATTCCGTGGTAGACCAACTAGTCCGACCCCTTATCTTGATGATGTAGAAATCAAGGCCCAGAGATGTGAGGTGGCTGGTCTAAGGTCACACAATGGATAGGTCAAAATCTCCCATCTGCCGACCCTCCCATGTTGTCTTGAGGTCAGAGAATAAAGGGAGTCCCTGGAGAGGCTTTCAGTCCCTGGCACGGAGCAATGTTCCCCAGCCCCCAAGGTCATAAAAGTTCTACTAGAATAATGTCACCCTTGCTTCTCATCCTAAATTGTCATTCACACCTAAGTCCTAGGGAGGCAAGGACCCAACAGGAAGGGCTCCCGTCAACTATCCTTCACGGATGCCTCTCTACCTGGCTCTCGCATGGTGACTTCCCCTCCAGTTTCTGGAGTCCGTTCCTGCCTGTGCATTCAGGAAACACAGGGGGCTGGTTAGACCACGCTTACTCTAGGGACACCTCTGCTTCTCCAAGGATACCTTCCCATGGAACGAAAACTAGACAACCGTAAGGCCTCGGGCCCGTATTCCTTGGCTCCAGGTCCTGGCCTTCCGAGGGCTGGGCCAGCCTAGGGCTCCATGGGTCCCCAAGCACGGTGTGGGCGCTTCAGAGAGCGCCAGGGGTTCTAACGATGGGCAAGGGCAGCTCCTGCTTTTGCTATGGCCCTCCGGCTTCATTCGGGCACACATCTCCAGGCCCCTGGCTGCCTGCTGGGCTCTGGCTCCTCTCGGTCCTGCCCACCGCTCCAGCTTAGTCATCGCACAAGAGTGGCTTTTGTGTTGCCTCTCCCACGGGCAGCGGCTAACGGTGCTTCACGGCACCCGCCAAGGTTGTGCCTCTGCTGGGCTTTCATGAACCTTCCATGACCTTCCCCCCCCCCCCTTTCATGGCCTCACTGCTCCTCACAAGGGGTGCTCCTTCTCACTTTTTAAACAAAATAATCTTTGCATCTGTGGTTTCTCCAACCCAGAGGTTCCTCTCTCTTTCACTCAAGAATTCGAATGTCCTCCTCTGCCCAGGCCCAGCCCAGGCGGTGCCTCTTCCACGTAGCCTCAGGCCATACAGACCTGTAGATCATCTAGATCCAACCCTTCATTTTCTAGATGGGGAAACCAAGGCTCAGAGAGGGAAGCTGATTTGCCCAAACATCAAATCACTAGCTGGAGACTGGAACAGATTTCCTTACCCTGCAGTAAAATACCTTTGCAATCTTCCCTGCTAAAGAGGGTGTGTCTTCTTGGAGGGAAGGGAATCGTAGAACCTTATAGACAATCCCTAAATCCTACTGGTCGTCAGTTGTCCTTACAGCCCTAAACACACAATTAAGTGCTTAATTATAAGCTGCTTTGCATTGTTATTTAAGTGTTTTCAAAGTAGACTGTAAGCCCCCTGAGGGCAGGTAACATTCCCTGTGCTGTGGGATTGTGCTCTCTTCTAAACCCCTAGCTAAGAGTGCCAGGCACCAGAAGATGTCATAGAGTGGGACCGGTCCCCTGGCCTGGCTGGAGAGCTCATCTGTGAGGCTAATTCTCCCACCTCTGTTTCTGGTAGCAAGCAAAATGGCATGGAAGTCAAGGGTCCCTGCCCAGATGCAAGTCTGGTTCCTAAGTTTTCACATAGATGAGGGGTGTGTGTGTGTGTGTGTGTGTGTGTTGGGGGGTGCATTACAAACTGTGGCTTGGGCAGATTCAAAGGGACTAATAATGGGTGTCAGGCTGGATAGGTTTCGAGCTTCCTCACCGGCTGCCAGCATCACTGGTGGGCGCACAAGCCACTGTGTTTTCTGGAGGACAGGCGAGGATCGAATGCAAGGACTGCAACCAAGGCAGGGGCAAGCATCTTTGCCCCAGGCACCTCCCTTCTTCCTTCGCCCCCTTTATGCTCTTCCTGGCTTCATCCACTGCTCTTTCCTTTCCTGGCCACCCCACCCCTCACAAGTTACTCGATCCCGCGGGAGGCTCTTTCAGGGGACAGTCTGAGCATGATCCCTGCCCCCTCCCCACCCCGGGTGTGGGCTCTGTGACTATGATTCTAACGTGGGACTTAGAGGCACTGCCTGACTTTGTGGGGGAACGTGGTGGGCTGAGGTGCTAGTTCCCAGCCCCCAGAAAGCGCAGTGCCTGGACTGGTGGAAGAGGGTTCGTGAAGTCTGAGGTGAGAAGGATCTAGGGAACCGGAGAAATTCGTCTTGGCCTGGGCAAGATACACTTTTCTCTTCCTTCTCTCCTCGCATCCAGATTTGAAAATGTGTCTTGGGAAAGTGGTTTAAACAGATTTACAGATTAGCAAGGTGCTGAGGGCACCTGGGGAGGGTTCACCAGTGGAAAGGTTGCACCACCTCGACTTTCAGGGCAACCCAGAGCCTTCTGTGATTGGTGGCTTCCACTCGGCACACCTGAAGGCCTCCTTTGCTCAGTCAGTGCCTTTGCCGGCTTGGGCTCCTTGTTCCTCTCCTCTGGGGCCTCAGGCAATGGGCTTGTAACAATACCTTCCCCCGCTTCCCAGTGGGTGGAAGTTGGTCAGGGTCACTAGGTGAGAGCAAATGGCTGATGACACCCACCCACCCACTCATCCTCCGGCCGGCCTGGGGGATGTGCTCTCTGCACCCTCCAGATGGCATGTGTACATTCCACGTTCTCTTCCCTTCCCCCAAATGGGGGAGATGCTAGAGTACACAGGGATTACTTAATTTCCCATTTTTCTGGAGAGAAAGCCAAGGCTCAGAGAGGGGGCATGGCTCACACAGGAGCATGTGAGTCGCCTGAGGCACTGCGGCAGCCTGATGTCCCCGGGTCTCTTCCCGCTCCCCAGCTCTGGTGGGAGTGGGAGCAAGGCCACTGTCAGTTAGCCATTAGGAAGCTCCAGGGAGTGGATCCTCTCCAGGATGCCAGAAGGGCTGCTCAGAGAAGCTAGTGGAAGGGGCATGGCCAGGGAAGTTTTGGCCCCGCCACTCGGTGCAGGGCAGACAGAGCAATTAACGACCAATGAAGGCAGACTGGCAGGGTGGCATTCCAGGGCCCTCTTGCCCAGATTGGACTCAATTATAGGGTACAATTACCTGCAGGGGTGCTGTGGGGTAGCTGCCTGCACATGCCATTCGAGGCTGAGTTGGGGAAATGCTTCTCTCCCTGGCTCCAGGTACTCCCTTTGGGACCTGGCCTCCCAGACCCATCCACCCAGTGGAAGCCGCCATCTTGGTCTGCGGGACTCACTTCTCGGGGGGAGACTATATCTGATGCCAACATCTCCCTTAGGACACTCATTCCAGTCCACTGCCAAGGAAGGCCACCCCCCCTGACTCCAGCCCCCAAGGCTCACGGGTGGGGGGTGGGTCAAGGTCCCCGCTTCGCCATGAACGCACAAGCATCCACTTCCACCCCAGAAGTCACACTGGCTTTGGCAGATGGGAAAGCCTTACCTCGAGTTTTGTTTTCTTTGGAATGGAGAGAGATGTTCTGTCTCTCCTGAAGATAGACGAAGAACTGGTAGCGGTGAAAGCCACTTTGTGCTGGTGGGGACGGAGGCTGGTAGGCTGCGGGGGGCAGAGAAGGACAGCACATGGGCCCCCAACCCACAGTACCCACAACCTCCTGGCTGCCCTGGGCCAGAGGAAAAGAGAATTCCTTGTGCCTTTCATGGTCCCTCGCCCTTCCCCCGACCCCGGGGGGTCCCAGCTGGGGGCTTACCCATGGCAAACCATTAGGGTTTTTCTTTGGCAGGGTCTCAGCTTCGAAGCTGCCTTTAGGAAGCGCCTTAGTTTGCGCAGACCGGGGAAGAGGAGGTGTGGGCTGCTTGGGGGTCTTGGGGGCCGGTGGGACTCCCCGGGCCTCTCTCGGGCAGCGGGCTTTGGTGCTATCCCTTTGCTGCTTTGGTCTATCCTGATGGATTTCCTGCCTCAAGGGAAACTCATCTTCCTCTGTGAGAGTGTTTGGCAGTGGATTTTTATTTATTTTTTCAGCATTTCCTTATGAACTCAATTCCCAAAGAAGCCAATTTCTTGGCTGGATCCGGAGGATCTGGAAGTGGTTACGGGGGTGGGTGGGACTCGGTTCAAAGGTTTGATCATGGAAGTGTAGGATCTGGGTGCTCGGGGCACTGGGAGCCCACTCAGGCTCTTCCGGAGGAGAAGGCCTGTCTCCCTCTTGCCCTCGATGCAGGAGCCAGATCTTTTCCTGGGGTAGGGGGGAGCCGGGGTGGGGACATCTCTCCCTCTTTCGCTAAGTCTATGCAGGGGTTTTGTGGGCCAGACTTTTGCGGTTGGTTCCAGTTGGGCCTGCTTCCAAACTGTGGGCCTCTGCCTCCTTTGCTCTCCTCCTCTCCCCTTCTGAAGAGCCTGGAATCTTCCTGGGGGTGGGTGGGGTTGGAGTGTTTTCGGTGAGGGTGCTGGTGGGAGGGAACGCTGGTACTCTAGGGCGCCCACCCTCTCTGGGTCATCAGACAAGGGTCACTTGCTCTTCACTCTTCTCTTCGGAGCTGCTGGAAGGGTTCCTCAGGGTGCACTTCTGGCCACCGGGGCCCCCCCCATGCTCACAACCGGGGGGAAATTCCTGACCGTTCATCTCTCCCGCCTTTGTGATTGCAGACCTGATATCCGTGTGTGTGTGAGTGTGTGTGTGTGTGCTCAGAGTGAGCACTGCACAGCGTGTGCCGGGAGTCGTGTGAGTTTGTATGACTTGGCGTCTACACTGCCAAAGAGAATGGTGCCTGTGATCGTGTGCGCAGAAGGCTGCGGTTGGAACCCTCCGGCTCTGTTCAGCTTGGGAATTTATCCCCAGGAGTGAGGAAGACCCAGCTGCCTTCACTAGGGCTTTCCTAAAGAATCTGCCCTCCGAAAGTAGAGATGAGGGGTGCTGAGGAGGAGGGGAAGGGGTACACACATGCATCCTACTTCTTGGGGCTGGGCCCTGGCTCCGCGCTTTCCCTGGTGACATCGCCTTAATCCTCACCACAACCTGGTCGGATGCAATGTTATCCCCATTTTCTGGATGAGGAAATGAGGTTCTGAGAGGTGAAGTCAGGCCGACAGGATGGGTGAAGCTGGGATCTGAGTCCAGGCCTGTCCGATGTCTGACCCCACCTTGGGTCATGGAACTATGGGGCTCATTTGTCTTTTTGCTCAGCCCTCCTCGGAGGCCCGGGTCTGCACCTCAGCTTTCCCTTCAAGTTGAGTGGAAGGCCTGCTCTTGCGGCGGGGAGCAAGGGGGAGGGGAGGAATGGAGCTGGGGGGAGTGGAGAAGGGGTGGGAAGGGGAGGGCATCAGAGAAAAGGGAGGTCTATGGGGTCCCATGCAAGCACATCATGGCACTGGGTACAAGGGAACACAGGGAGGCAGGCCCAGGGAAGGGAAGGACTCCAGTCCCTCCAGGAGAGCAGACCCCTGCATTTAATGCTGGCCTCACCCCTTAATCCTTGTGAGCTGAGGGACAGTGGGGTCATGCCTGCCTTTCATTCTCTTTCAAATGAAGACAGCAGCCTTTAGAGGCCATTCAATGAACTCAAGGAGCGAGGAAGAGTCAACTCCTGGGTCGGTGGGCACTTTCACACCACCAGGTCTCAACATTAAGTTGCATTGTTATGGTTCTTGTGGTCATGTCGTTGCCCCAGCTGGGGCAAGGGGTGGGGGAGGGTCGTACTCACGTGACAACTCCTGGCCCTGGACCTTCCCTTTCTTTATATCAACGCCCTGCAATCAGAGACAGGTGTGGGTTACTCCTGGGGCAGCAGAAGGCCACACGGCCACACCTCAGTCCAAGCGGGTTTTGCGGACTTCTTTCTCTCCCTGAGGGAGTAAGATAGAAGAGTAGGCACGGGTATGACTGCTCCTGGGACACATTCCAGAACGGGCTCTGGGGCTTAGAATGGTGCCTTAGGGGGTCCAGGGAGAGAGGACAGACACAGGCATTGCTGAGGGTGGCCTGGGGTGAAAGATGGACCCCCCTGTCCCCTGGAGAGGGCGAGCTCCACTCCTTCTCTGCTCACTGGAAGGACGGCTCCACTCCCATCATCTGCGTCCCCAGACTGGGCACGGGACACAGTCTCTGCCTATGGGGTCTGGTGAGCTCAAACGCAGGGGCTGACAATGCTCACAGCCTTGCTAGGCTCTCTTTGGGGCCTTCAGCACATTAGGCCAGTGGCTGCCTGAGGAACCAGAAGGGCAGGGATGGCAGAAGGAGGCTGGACTGCTGATTCTGAGGCAGTTTCTTCCCCAGCCTTGATTGGACTCAGCCCACAACCCCTGGGCAGATTGTTTGGCCTCAGTTTCCCTCTTCTTCCTTCCCCTTCCTCCTCCCCTCTGCTCTGCGTCTGTGGGATAATGAGGCGATCCCGGGGGCGGGTGCTAATTATTGTTTGTGCAGGACCGGGAGATGCTCAGATGAAAGGTACTGGAGCCGGGCCCCTGGGTCTGTGCCACAGCTCGGGGGCCCCTAGGTGTGGGGTTTTATGGCCTTAATGATGGTGATTAGCACGGCTCTTCATTGCTTCTGCCAACACCTAACTGTGCCCTGGCCATCTTTCCACCGAGCCCTCCTGGTCCAGCCTTGGCTCCTTCCCCTGGCAGAGGTCCTGGGATAAGGCTTTGGGAGGGGGACCTGTGAGATTCCCTCTCATTTCTCTGCAGAGGCTCTCAGAGTCAGCTGGGTGACCCAGCTCCTAGTGCGGTTTACCTTCTACAGAATTAAAGCCCCACCTACCCCTCTTCTTGAAGTACCCTCCCCCCATCTTTTCCACTTTGGGCTGTAGCCTGCCAACTGTTCTTATTTTGGGCCTCCTTGGCCAGAACATCCCCTCCCCAAGGCTCATCCCTGTCTATGTTACCTCTGGTTGGGAGAGAGTGTTGGGGGGGTGGGGGAGACTGAGACTGCAGAATGGGCCCCTCCACCTTGGGCACCCTTCCCACTTGGTTGTCCTCAGCCGGAGCATTCGAGAGCTCTGTCCCCTGGCACCCCGCCAGCCCCCTCATGCCGTCTTCTCTGCTCAGGAACATCCAGCATGCCAGCTCGGCCTTGGCCCGCTTTCAGCAGGGTTCCCCCACCCCCCAACCCAGTATCAGGCCCTGTCTTACCTGTGGCATGGGGCCCCCCGCTGTGACCTGCGGGTTGAGAAGCCAGGGGTCACCAGGGTAGGGGAAAGGGGTCGGGGAACAGGGGCCCCTTTCCTTGATACCTGTCTCTCTCAGGAGACAATGTGAGGGCCCAAGCCCTAGCAGCCCCTCTCCCAAAATAGCTGTCTGGCTCTCTGGTGGCTCTAGCATGACTGAGAGAGATGGGGGCTAAGCCCCAGGGCGGCCCAGCCCAGCCTGCTGCGAGCTCCCAGCCTCCCCCTCACTTGTCTCCAAGTCAGCCCAGCCAGCGGTTTGTTTAAACAAAACAATAGCAACCTAAGCTGGCTCTTTCTTTTCAATTCCCCACAGCTTGGGTCCCACCCAGAGTGATAAACAGGCCTCTCTCCTCTGAGTGAGTGCAGGGAGGGCTGGGAGGGCGGGCTGGGGGTGGTTGCTGGGCCCGTAAGGTCAGTGAGTTTGTGCAGAACGGGGTGGAAAGTCTGATCGTAGCCTTGATCAGGGTGGAAAGGCTCTCATTCTCCTCCTTTTCACTCCGGGGAGTCTTTTCTCATCTACTGGGGCCAGCTTGGCAAAGACAGACGTGGATTCAGTGAGTAAAGCCAGCGGCCCTTCCTGCTCGCCTTCCCTGGTGGAGCTGCCCTTGAGCTCGGCTGAGGCAGCTGCTGGGGGAGCCGGGAGCAGAGATCATTGATGGCTTGAGTTCTTAGGTCTCTGGAGCTTGTCCTATGGACAGGTGCTGGTCCTTGGAAGGATGAGCAGGGAAGGAAGTCTCCAAGGAAGGACCAGGCTGCAGAGGGGCCTTCCCCGAAGAATCTGTGGTCAGTGTGGCTGGTATTTATTCAAGCTGGGTTGAAGATTGGCTAAACTCCCTTTGGCCACAAACCTTCCCTCATTGGTCTGTTCGGGGGGGGGGGGGGGGTGCTAAAATTTCTACCACACGATCAATATGTGATAGGGTCTTAGGAAACCAAACTCAAAAGGTAAGAAAATTGACTCTCCAAGGGGCTCAAACTGCTTGTCCAGAGCCACAGAGTAGTGAGTGGGAGAATCCCAGAATATTCCAGGAGGAAGAAGCCTAGATCCTTTGACCTTTGAGACCCACTAGCTCAGGATCTCATGGCTTTTGACCCATAGTGCCATCTTATGCTTTTTTTCTACAACAATCCCATCACTTCTCCAAGCAGCACGGCTTTAGGAAGACTGTTATTAAAATACATAGATATTACCTAGAGGCCTGGGGCCACAGTGGAAATGGCTACATGGTTCCCTGCCCCCCGCCCCCCCCCCCCATATGAAATCCTGAGCTCTCCCGAAGAGTCTTCACGGATCGGAGTACCTCATTTAGCCTGAGATGACCTTAGGAACCCGGAAATTTCTGGGGATGGATGAGATTCCGGAACATTCTAGTGGAGTGGGGGGGAATCTCTGATTCTGAGCACTTCCTAGGAAGACAGGACTGAGGAAAGGGTCTTGAAGGTGGGCAATGAACCCAGCATTTGAGGGACAGAGCAGTCTGAGCAGACAAGAGTTTTGGAAAGAGGGCATGCAGCGGGAGAGGGGCTGCTGAGAGCTCCCCCAACCTTGGCTTCCTCTCTGGCCTTCCCCCCTCCTCCAGGTACACTTTTCCTCTTTAAGACGGGCCCAGCCCAGACAAAACCTCCTTTCCCTTACTATACGCTAAGATAGATTGACATTTTCAAAAGGAGCTTGTCTAAATGCTAAGGTTAAAAAAAGGAAATAATTATAGAAATTATAAACAGTGTAGAAATTGTCGGGTTTCTGATCCTCAGGAACACAGAAAAGACCAGGGTGGCTTTTTGAGGATAGCGGGACAGGAACCCCTGAGGTATGAGGGCAGTGTGCTTGGGAGGATGTCCAGGGTCCTTCTAAGTGTCCAAGACTAGATGACCTTGGGGAGGCAACTCTTTTCCTAATCAGCATCCTCTGTTAAGGGGAAGAAAGGAAGGGCTGAAAGGTTGTTCAGTAGGACCCTTAAACACTCAGGATATTAAAAAAAAAGTCTCTTCTTTTTCTTAGAAGTTGGTCCCCGGTGTGTGTGCGCACACGTGTGTGTGTGTGTGTGCATGGCAGAGATGCGCACGACTGGCATAGAAAGAGTCACACATTATTCTAATTGCAGAGAAGAAGCTTGGCTCTATGGATAGTTCAGAGGAATTTCCGGGTTTACAGATGTGAGATTTCCTTTCCACCCCTCCGACGTCAGAGCTCACGGCTTCTCTGTCAACTTAGTTTGGACCTGGCACGTCAGATGCTTAGGAGGAGTTGAAACTCGACCGAGAGTCATGGCCACTCCAGTCTTGGCCCAGGGTAGATACAGACTGCCCCACCAGACTTGCTCCGATCAAGTAGAGAGCACAGTGCTGGAAGCTGGGGTCTGCTCCCCACTACTGTTATTGGACATTGGCAATGAGCTTTCAGTTCTTCTTCTCCAGGGCTCTAACCGATGCATCCATCTCACGGCAGCCCTTGCTGGGGAAGGGCAGAGCTCAGTCTCCCAATTCAGTGGAAGGAAACCCAGAGGAGCTTAGTCTCTCAAGGGCAGGGATAACATCCTGCCCATCTCTGTAGCCCTTAAGATGCTTGGCACAGAGCCATGGACGTTGTCAGTGCCCAGGCTCACTCCCCAGCCCTTGCCACCTTGCTGATCTCCAGCTCTCCTTCCAATCTGCTTCACCTGGTCCCAGGGCCTCCTCTGGCCTCCAGGGCCTGCTTCACCACCTGCACAATAGGGCAGACGTGCTAGGGTGTTAACGTCCCCTGGCAACAGCTCCTAACCAAGGGCTGATGGGAAATGGTGCATAAGTACTGCAGCTCCTCCCCTCTTGGGGAAGTGATGGGGCTGCGATTTCGTACCGGCTCTGGCCACCCAGAGTAGAACTTGTTTGCCCATGAGCCTCAACTGAGCGCCCTCCTTTTTCCCTTCTCACCCGGTCCCTTATTGGGGCTTCCTCACGTCCCTTTGAAAATTCATTACTTGTATGAGACTCCTTGTCTCGAGCTCTGCTTTGGGGCAACCCAAGCTAAAACACTACGGGTCTAACACACATCTGTGGAAGGAGTGGAGAGAGGAATGAAGGCTTTGTTCAATGTGTCACAGGTAGCTGGCCTTGAGGCCAAGACTAGAAGAAGCCCCTCCTCCTGGCTTTCTGTCCCATTCTCTTCTGATGGGACACACCACCACTGTCTGGACCCCGATCCTTCCGCCCTCCCAGGCCGGGTCCCAGAGGTCCCTGATACATTAAGCTTTTGGAGTAGCGCAAACAGACAAGCCAGTTAGATGAAAGACACTTCTATCCTTTGTTTCTTGTGCATGGCATCAGCTTCTCGAGAATCACAGGTCCCGGGGCTCCCCTTCCCCAGCCTGGAGAAGCCTTAGGTCAAGCCTACCTGCGACAGGGGGGCCAGATTTAGGTTGTGAGATCTGGTGGATGGGAAAGGGCCTGGCTCAGCGCTGGGCCCAACAGAGACGGCCAGCCTGGTGTCCTCATTCCCCTTCAATTACCTACAGGTAACTGTCCGCCCACCTGGGCGTTTTCGAAGGCCCCAGGTGCTCGGGCTCGCTGACCCCTGGAGTAGAGGGTCAGCAGCACATTTCCTAG